CCTCAGAAATGACCTAGAAGACCTCCGGCAGCAAGTCGCAGTACTGAGCGAGCAGCAGCAGAGATGTACATCCACCGATGCCGCATCTGTAGTGGCCCCGACTCCCGCACCGCGACCGACAAGCCCTCGTACCGACGAAGAGGTCGAGCGCATTGTCCGGCTCTGCATGCTCCAATGCAGGAGCATGGTTAACGCTCGGCTGGAGGCGATTTCTCGGCGTCTCCCGGCGGAAATCCTACGTCCGCCTTTGGCAGCTGACACGCGGAGGACTGAGGAGCCGCTGATACTTGCGCCTCAAAAGGGGAAGCCCACGGAGGGTAAAATAAAGCCCGCGGAAGGAGCTCCTCCGAGCGACCAGCCCACGACAGCCGGGTCTAAGGTTTAAACATGGGCGAAAGTCGTGGGCCGCAAGAAGGTCCGCAAAGCCGCCAAGAACGCCGCACCAGCTGCACACGCCCCAGGTGGAACTGCAAAGACGGCTCCTCAACCTGCGCGGCGGACTGCCAAAGGCGGTCGCAAGAAACCGGCTGTACGTGTTCCGCGGTCCAATGCGGTGACACTAACATTGCAGCCCGGAGCTGTGGAGCGTGGCGTGACGTACCAGTTGGTCATCGCTGAGGCCAAGGCCAAGATCAAATTATCAGACTCCTCAGCCGTCACCCAGGCAGGCTGCCACGTGCGCGGCTGTTCGAGGTGGCTGGCACTGTGAGCGACAGTGCCGAAAAGGCGGACGCATTGGCCGCCAAGATGAGAGAGGTCCTCAACCCTGAGGACGTCCGGGTCTCCAGACCAATGATAACAGCAGAAGTGCGGATTGCTGGCCTGGACGACTCCGTGACATCTAAGGAGGTGGTGGTGGCCGTTGCCAGAAGCGGAGAGTGTCCGCCGGACAAGGTGCGGGCCGGCGATATACGCACCGATGCCACCGGACTTTGCGCGGTCTGGGTTCGGTGCCCTGTAGCGTCGGCAAAGAAGATCGCCGATAGCGGCAGATTGCTGGTAGGCTGGGTGGCAGCAAGTACGAAGCTACTAACGCCCCGGGCTTTGCAGTGCTTCCGGTGCCTGGAAAAAGGGCACGTCCGGGCGAAGTGCACCGCCGAGGTTGACCGTAGTGACCTTTGTAACCGCTGCGGCCAGCCTAGCCACAAAGCGGCCCTGTGCACCGCGGCGTTCAACTGCAGCCTTTGCTCTGCTGCGGGAAGGCCAGCGGAGCACAGAGTAGGCGGAGGGGCCTGTGGGGCGCCTACCAGCAAGGCCAAGGCCAAAAAGGAAAAGAAGAGGAGCACCAAGCCTGCCGAGTTAACCTCGCTGCCCACACAGGCCAGTAGCTCCGCGGCCGTTTCCCGGCCCAGGACTGTTGCCGAGGGAATGGAATGTCAATAATGGCAAAGTTCCATTTTCTCCAGGGCAACATCAACCACTGTGCCAGAGCTCAGGATCTCCTACTCCAGAGCGTGGCAGAGTGGTCGATTCACGTGGCTGTGTCGCCGAACCGTACTTCATTCCCGGCCGTGACAACTGGCTGGGATGCGCTGACGGTTTGGTGGCCATTATTGGCGAGACTCTGATCGACCCGTCTCGGGGCCGCAGCTGTCGGGGCGTTTTTCTCCCCCAACAAGAGTCTCGCTGACTTTGAGGGTTTCATTGTCGAGTTGGGCGCCGTTGTAGGCCGCTATCACCCTCGACCCGTTCTGGTGCTCAGGGATCTCAACGCAAAGTCTTCAGCATGGGGATCTCCGTTCACTGATCCTCGGGGCGAGGTTCTAGAAGAGTGGACAGTGATGACTAGTCTGGTCGTCCTGAATCGGGGTTCGGAATACACGTGCGTGCGGCAGCGAGGCAGGTCGATAGTGGACGTGTCGCTCGCTAGCCCCTCTGTCGCCAGCCGAGTCCGCGACTGGCGTGTCGCCGTAGGGGTGGAGACGTTGTCGGACCATCGGTATATCCGGTTCGACGTCTCTGCCCAGACTGCGAGAGACCGCCATCCAACTACCCTGATTAACGACGGCCCGCGTTGGGCGCTTAAGCGCATCGTCAGGGAACTACTCGACGAAGCTGTCTTAGTCCAGTCCTGGATCTGGGAGTCGGCAACGGACAGCCCCGTCGACGTCGAAGCAGTGGCGCTATGGTTTCGCGGGGCGGTGACGCAGATCTGCGACGCGTCCATGCCCCGTGTCAGCCAACGGTCCGCAAGGCACTGTTATGCAGACGACACGCTCGTCACTGCCAGGGGGAGCTCGCACAGAGAAGCAGCGTTTTTTGCTACGGCTGCGGTTTCACAAGTGGTGAACCGCATCCGGTGCCTGGGCCTGGATTTGGCCCTTAACAAGTCGGAGACCATGGTGTTTCATGGCCTTCGACGCGCGCCGCCGCCGGGATCGCACATCGTGGCACAGCGGGGCCCGGATAGCTGTCGAGTCCACCATGAAGTACCTGGGATTGGTGTTTGACAGCCGATGGGAATTTGGGCCCCACTTCCGGCGGCTGGCGCCCAAGCTGATGCGTGCAGCTGGCGCACTTTCAACGCTGCTTCCCAACTTGGGGGGCCCAAGCGCCGCCTGTAGGCGGTTATACGTGGGAATCGTGCGGTCCATGGCCCTGTATGGGGCCCCTGTATGGGCGATGGTCATGACGGCCAGCACACTCGCCATTCTGCGCAAACCGCAGAGGGCGATGGCCGTCAGAGTCATCCGCGGTTATCGCATGATTTCCTACGAGGCGGCTTGCGTCCTGGCCGGATCCCCGCCCTGGGACCTAGAGGTGAAAGTACTCACGTCATTATATCGATGGCGCGAGGAAGAGCGGGGACGGGGCTCGAGGCCGGTGCAGCGACAGATCGCGCTGCGCCGAGAGGAGCTCCGTCAGGTCTCGGTGGCGGAATGGCGGCAAAGGCTTCTGCGTCCTACCGCCGGCCTCGCTATCGTCGAGGCGATCCGGCCAGTACTCGACGACTGGCTCGGGAGAAGGCACGGCTCCCTGTCGTTTAGGGTGACGCAGGTGCTGTCGGGGCACGGCTGCTTTGTGCCGCTTAGACAGGGAGCCGGACGCTCGGTGCTACCACTGCGTCCATTGCGGGGAGGACACGGTGCAACACACGCTCGCCGAGTGTGTAGCTTGGGAGGAGCAGCGCCGTGTCCTCACAAATGAAGTAGGAGGCGATCTGTTGCTGTCGGCCTTGGTGCGGAGGATGGTCGGTAGCGCAGAATCGTGGGATGCAGTGGTGTCCTTCTGTGAGGACGTGATGTCGCATAAGGAAACTGCGGAACGGGAGAGGGAGATCTCGACTCCCTTCCCTGGCCGCAGAAGGCGCACTGGGCGTAGGAGAAGGGCGGACAACGCCCTTTTCCAGCCCCCATGAATGAGTCCAGGGGCGAGGGACTAGGGGAAGCCCCCGCCCCCCTATTCGATGGACCCGAGGCGGAGGCACGCGCGGGTGTCGGCGCGCGCCTCTGAGTTGATACACGGGGTAGTTGAACACCTCACTACCCCGTGCAGGAGACGAGGCCCGTACAGACCGGGCCAGCACTAGTGTAGGGCTGCGGAAGAATTTGGATTCCCGCGGCCCCTCGCGTGCACGTACGAGGAGACACCGGGATGGTTTTAGCCGGTAAGAGTCCGGCACACCCCTCCGCCTTTCCCCAGGCAGAGGCAGTCCATGAGGATTTCCCCCCGTAAAAAAAAAAGGTTAGGTTAAGTTAGGTTAGATATTTTTTCTAATTCTGTGTGTTTTATATAGCAAATTAGAGTACATATGGTAGTTTCTACACAAGACGGACCTAGTAGGAGCAAAAAGAACGAACTAAAATTTACTAAGAAAACTATAAGAAAATATGGAAAGCAATTAACCACACTATTCTGAGAACATTTAAATGAAAAATACCAATTTTTAGGAGAGTTATTTACAAATTTATAGTTGTGTGATTAGGTAAGTATAGGTTAGGTTAGGTTAAGTTCCCGTGTGGAGTTGCCAGTCCTCCTATCGGGCCCGTCCCCATGTGGCGGATGAGGGGAATGCCACTCTGATATGAGTGGTAGCGGGAAACCGTCGCGGACCAAAACTGGCTGGGTTTGGGCGTACCTTTGGTTCCGAATGGAATCAAATAGTTTTGTTGCTTCCCGTATCCTCTCCATTGAGAGGAACAGAGAATATGACATGCGTGGTGAGATGCCAGGTGCACTCGGCTTTTGCCGACGTCGGGCATCGCGTGATTGCGGGATTTTCAAGGACCACATCCTGTAAAAAAAGGAAATTGAATGGGCTCAGTGTTCCCTCACCTGGTCTCTGGGCAGGCATGGGGAGAACCCGTATCGACTCTGCCATCGTTTGAACCTCGGAATCCCTTTGGCGTGTCGTGGATCATGTCTCGCGGCGCGTGAGGGGCCGATGGCTCTTGGATTAACCGCCTGGAGTCGCGAGGATGATAACCTCCATAAAAAGTTACCCGAAGCTCAAATGTGGCACGCCGTGAGGAGCTGCATGGCTGATGGGTAAATGTTCAGTCGTTAGCGTTGCTCCCGTCAGGGTACCGACCGACAACCTTGACGGGTTACGCATAGACTTATCCGGGCATGGGAGGCGCTGCTCGGATGGACTATTATTTCCTCCACACTCGTGGGAAAAAATGGAAAAATATAAATATTATAAAACATCAGAAGGAGATAAGAAAGGATATAGATAAGGATCGGAATCAGATGCAAGCCTTTGTATCGATGTATCAAGGACAGCTTCTAAGTCTGGAGGCCGCTCCCGTGGGGCGAAAAAGAGAAGTATAACAAAATCAACATCGAGCGACAATGAAGCTTTTTTAAAAGAGACGAATTCTGAGACAGGAAAAGAGGTGATGCCATTAATGGCTAAATCTGAAGAGTTCGTAGTGCCAGGGACTGAGGAAGCTCTTAATATGGCTGAGAGGCAAGTGGAATAAATGGCTTGTGCTGCCAATCAAAAACGGACTGCCCTGGGGCTGCCTAATTTAGTCGGAGATGACAACCATTCGGCAATGGCTTTCAACCAACAGGTTCTCGACGATGTCGGAGTCATACTGATGGTAGCAGCCAAGTCGAGAAATCTGAAAGGCACATTTCAACGTGTCTTATAGGATGCTGCCACGTCAATAAAAACAGTCGTGAAGGTTCTACATAAGAGGTCAGTGAATGAAGAAACGGCGAGATTTCAGGCTGAGAACACCTGCCTGCGCAGTAAAATAGTGGAGCTTCGTAAAGAACTATCTGAAATCCGGCTTGAAGTAGCGAGGATCAACAAAACACCTGCTCCACCAACTCTTCGGGTGCGAGGAAACAAGGAAAGTGAGGAATTGATAAATTCCATTATGCGCCAAGTTGGTGACATGATGAATGCGCGATTGGAGGTGCTTGAGGAACGGCTTCTCCCAGAAAAGCGTGTCCGCCCTCCGCTGGCTGCTGATGTGCGCAGAGATGTAGTAAATAATGCAGACATACTACGGCGGAAGTCTGATACAATTACGTAGGCTGCCGTAAAAACGTCGTAAAACCAAGAATAGGCAACAAAAAAATTCCCGCCCTGGAAATACAAAGAGGAAACAGAAAGGGAAAGGGACACGAAGGGAGAACAATTGAAATGGCAACTAACCAGCCAACAGAATCTCGCCCTCAAACTCCTGAGTCCACAGAAGAAGGATGGACCACAGTAGTGAGAAGAGGTAAAAAGCGAAGGCAGGAACCGTCAATCCTTTCAAGAGACCAGCATCTGTGAAACTGCGTTCCCCAAAATCCGCGGCTGTAGTTATAACACTGCAGCCCGGAGCTGAAGATCGTGGCCTCACTTATGCGAAGGTGCTGACAGAGGCTAGAAAGAAGATAGACCTTTGGACCGAAATTGGTATTTTTCGTTTAAATGTTCTTAAAATAGTGTAGTTAATTCTTCGTTATTTAAGCGTTAAGCCTAATATTTTCTCATAGTTTTCTTAGAAAATTTTAGCCGTCATATAATCATTTTTTATTTTTTAAACTGCTTCAAAATTTTGTTTCCTTCGTTATTTTTGCTCCTACTAGGTCCGTCTTATGTAGAAACTACCATCTGCATTCTAATTTGCTTTATAAAACACACAGAATTAGAAAAAAATATCTAACCTAACCTAATCTTTTTTTTACATGGGGAAATGCTTACGCGTACCCGCCTCGCGGGGGCAAGGACAGGTTATGTCGGATTCACACCGACTAAAACTCCATGGTGTTCCACCTTCGTTGCATATTGGCAGGGCCATGGGAACGCTTTCGCACACATCTGTGGCCCTACCAGCGCCTGCCGCGTCGTGGCAGCACCTCCTCGGGAGAGGAATATTCCTCCCCGTTCTCCTTCCCAGGTAAGGCGCACCAGAACACATGGCGCACCTTCCTCCACGGCCTTCGATTACACCTGCGCAACAGACGCCCCCGTGTCCGATGCGCGAAGGAGATGAGGCCAGGAAAAACGAGCACTCAGAAGCACTAGCCTTCCTGACCCCAGCGGCGAGTGGCGAGTGAGAGGGCGAGTAGCGCATCGTCATACCAACACTCCTCTTCCTCCACGACTCCACCTCGGCTGCAGCAGTGGAGGGTGCGGACACCCCTCTCTCCGCAGTCCACCAGCACACATCCGAAGTGGGCTCGCCAAACCCACTCGGAATGGCCACCTAGGGCCGGCCCTTCACCTCGGGCCGGCCATGTGGGTTCCTCTTTGTTCACCGCGGGTGACCAAGCCACGGCTACTAAGCCCTCCCGCCACGATAAGGCGGAAACCGGTTCGGGGGTAAACGTAACCTAACCTAACCTAACCTTTTTTTTTACATGGGGAAATGCTTACGCATACCCGCATCGCGGGGGCAAGGACGGGTTACGTCGAATCCGCACCGACTAAAACCATATGGTGTTCCACCTTCGTCGATAAAAAGTAACGTCAACTTTATGCCGACTAACTAATATCTAATAATTGTACCTAAATACTGCCGTAATTTTGATCCAATATCTAATATTTATTCCGTGCTAATATTTAGTAGTATCATTTAAAAACATGGGAAGTTTTATGAACATAAAATTTTGTTACAATTCAGTAATCAAGAATAGAAATAAAAATAAGTATTGTTTATCGTCGGTCTATAAAACGTTAAAGTCGGTGTCGCAAATGTGTTGAGGTACTAAGTGGACAAATTGAACAACATCTTCGTGGTCGTCGTATCTATTATTTATTCTGTGCTAATATTTAGTAGTAATATTTGAAAACATGGGAAGTTTTATAAATATAAAATTTTTTCACAATTCAGTGTCAAGAATAGAAATAAAAATAAGTATTGTTTATCGTCGGTCGATAAGAAAAATGCTAATTATTAAATTTTGAATTTTGAAGCAGTATAACAGTTTAACTATTTGTTATTGTGTGGATTCATACCACCATTTTTTAAATGTTTCTTTTTTAAAAGTGTTTTTATGTATTTTTACTAATCCTAGCTATAATTTAATTTCTTAATAACACTGACGGACGCTGTCTGAAGTAAATAAATAAATAATGAATATTTTAAAAAATAACATAAAAAATCGCAATAATTTTTATCTATTTAGAAAATATCAAAATTATGTTATAGAGTACAATAGCTTTGCCACGTCCATGCACATAATAAACAAACAAACACTAGTAGCGCGTTAGCTCTGATATTGACAGTTGTGTTTTATATTGCGAAATTTAATATTCCGCCGTGAGTGACTTGTGTGCGATGTCTTACTCACACAAGGCATATTTTAATATGTTGATGTGTCTTGGGAAATGTGACAGCAATTATGCAGCAGCACGAAGACTACGAGGAGTGCTTTGCTACTCCACGAAATATACATTTGCCGTCGGCGATGACGTTCCAACGACTTTACATTCGTATGTACAATACTGGCAGTGTGCATGGCCGTGATCAACAACGTATAGATTCAGGAAGACCGAGGATGTACGACGACGACATCGAGGAGCACATTCTCGACATGTTTGAGGAAGATGCGACGTGAAGCACGCGCTCGGTGGCACGTGAACTGGGTGTAAACCACATGCGCGTTTGGAGAGCCCTCAAAGATGATAGCCAGCAACCGTATCATTATCATCGAGTTCAGTATCTTCTTCGCAACGACTACGAGCCGAGAATGGATTACTGTAGATGGTTACTCGATATGGTTGAAGGAGATCCTGAGTTTTTGAACCGCGTACTTTTTACGGATGAATGCTCTTTTGTTAGAACAGGTGTATTTAACGCTCATAATGAACACGTATGGTCAACGACAAATCGGTCTGTATGAAATGAAATGTCTGTTTTGCGACGCGTGCGTTCAGACATTATACGCCGGTGTCGCAATTGTATAGAGGTACAAGGTGGACATATTGAACAACATCTTCGTGGTTGTCAAGTAGACATAGTGATAAATTAATGTTTGACTATAACATCTGTGATGTGACGAGGTCACGACCTCAAAGTGCAGTTAGTGTAGGTAAGACACGCGTACGCGCGCGCGCCCCCTCTTTGATGCACGTCACCGCCGGCCGTCACCCGCCGCTGTCGATAATTCCAGGCAGAGGTAAACAATCCACATAAAAATTACAAAAATTTAATCAAAAATAATATTAATTAATTTGATAATTTTTATGTTGAGTTTTCTGAAGTTAAGTTATTTCTGTACGTTTGAATACTGATTCTAATAACGCACTTAACGGGAACCATAGGGTTTTTGTTACATATTGTATAAGGCCCTTCATACGCCAAATTAAACTTACTCATAACTTTGTTATCTGCATCTGATCTACTAGATCTAGAAACTTTGACTAAATCGCCAATGTCATATTTCATTAATCTATTACGCTTATCAAACTTTGTGTTTCTCATTCAACTTGCCTCTTTTAAATTCTTTCGCACTTGGAGTCTAATTTGTTCGATATTATATTTATTTTTACTATTAAATATTATTTTGTCTAAAGACATTTCATTAGACTCGCCATAAAGAATCTCACATGGCGTAAAGCCTGTACTATTGTAATATGAATTATTATACAATTCTTCAATTCAATTGGCTCGGGAGCCGAAACTTTTATTTGTTCATTAGTGACTTGTATTTCATTCATTTCGTTAACCTTCTTTTTTCCTTCTTCAGGCTTACGCCATGATTTATATGGTTGCTGTATTTCTTTTTGTTTTTGTTCTGCATTATTATTAAGTTTTAGTTTTTTCTCAATATAGTAAGGTTCACGACCTTCATCCTGTTTATCAATCTCATCTAAATTTCTTAAGAAATCTGTTGTGTGAAATAAACAAGTGCCTCGATATAGATATAAATATCAAGTTATTTTGATCGCTTAGGCGTCTTATGAGCTTGAGGGGCGGTCGTCATCGATTGTTCATTCGTTGAGTTGTCTTCAAAATCTCCCAAAAACTTCGCATGGTGATGCATCAGTACTTTGTGAAGAAAAAAATCCATAAAAACGAAGATCCTGAATGAAATGACGACATAGCTTAAATGAAAAGTGGCCAAGCCTAAATTTTTAATTAAAAGAGTTAAAAACGTTTCATTCTTGCTATAGTAAAAGTATTATCTTTCGTTTTTCATTTTAATTTTTTTTATTATTGTCTTAAGGACAACAGAAATAAAAACCTTTCAATTATGCTTATAATTTATGGTTTTATTACCAACGTATTTTTATATAACTGTTCAGTACGATGTCAAGCACCCAATTTCGTTCATCTCTTTTGTTTCATAACTGTAAGATATAAAACAAAGTTTATTGATTATAAAAAGTGTTGCGAAAAATAATTTCGAAACTTGATATTTTTCTTGAAAATGTTTCAATAATTCGATCATTTATTACTACTTAATTAACTATTGTTGCTCGCTCAGCGTAGCGACTTGCCGCCGCAGGTCCTCTAGGTCATTTCTGAGGCGGCTGTTTTCCTCCTGTAGCTTTGCTAACTCGTTAGGGGCCGTCCTGTTGAGGAGGATGCCAACCGCCTCCCTGATATCCGCGACAGCCTCCTTTAAGCCACTGCCACTGCCAGACTTGGTGGCAACTTTTAAGACTAAGTCCACCCCATCCAGAGCCAGCTGGCTCAAGGCCACCGCAGATGGCTCTCCTTCCTTCGCCGCCAGAGCAGCTCGTCGTTCGCGAGCGCGTCGGGCCATTTCAGACACTTCGTCGGCTGCGACGGCTTTGCGCTGTTCCCTCTTGGCGGCGTTGAGCTCCGCCTTTGAACTCCTCAGCGAGGCACAGCTTTCACCGCCATCGCCAGGGTCCTCCGTAGTGACCCCCCTGTCACTCTCTGCTTCATTAGCCGCCGAGGTATTGGAGCACAAGAACCGTCCGTGCTTATCCCTCTGCGGCTGCAAAGCACTCACCCCTCTCGATGCCTGCCGACCCCTCCCCGAAGTCGCCAACTTAAGGACCGGCAGACCTTCCCCGTCCGAAGACCGGCACACTGGATGTTTCTTAGCGGAAGACGTTCCACGCGGC